TGGAAAGAAGAGAGACAAAGCACCTATTTTTGTGGATACGTAGCTTCCTGTTTCTGTGCCAGAAGCTGGAAGAGAGAGCTAAAATCCACATAACTGTGCCATCTGGGTCTGTTCATGAGGAACTATAGATAGTGGTTTTAGCCAATAAAACTTACGTATTGGACAGGTAAATGACCTTGTAACCCAGACATGCCTGGGTTTTCAGGTTCAGATATATGCTTGTCCCTGACTTTGCTTAAAATGTTGTATGAATGCTGCTTCTATATATTTTACAGGATTGCCAGTTGTCAGTTATTTAAGCTGTTGATTCAATATAGTAATTTTGAACATTTCAAGGTTATCAGCTGTCAGTCATTTTATTGATTCAACTTTATGGCATGTGGGCTATTCTCTACTCAGCATTTATAAAGCCAAGGATTTGTGACCCAAATATGATGTGAAAGCTTGTTCATGTTTTCCTCTTAACCTGGACATTTGAATGACCCTTAGAGAATTAATGTGTTACTCATATACGGGATTGGGGAATGGTATTGTAGTAATAGTGTCACAGTTTACTCTCATCTGGAAAATTTCAGAAAATGGATTTGTTCCCATTCAAGGGCGCATCTCATTCCAAGATTTGAGTGAGAAGTGAATACACTCCTTTTCAAGTCACAGACACCGGAGCTGATTGAAGTCTGCATCAAGGTTTTTGCTGCTGGCTGAGATCCAGAATCCATTTTCAATCAGAGAAAATAAAAAGAGGAATATCTTCATTGCTAAACAACTGCTGCCTTTACATTCAGGAAATGTAATAACCGCTTAAAAGGCAAGGAAGAGCCTTGGCAAAAACAGCTGCTTCCTTCAACAGATTCATATTTGCATTCAAATGTTATAAGGTGTAACTGTTCAACTAATTTCTTTTTAGTTTCTACTAAAATACAGGAGTGGATGCTACCTGTACTAAGTATTCATTGCCCTGTTAGGATACTATAGAGCCGTGATGGCGAACCTATGGCACGCGTGCCACAGGTGGCACGTGGAGCCATATCGGTAGGCACGCGAGTTCAGCTCTGACATGCATGCACACGCTGGCCAGCTGATTTTCGGGCCTTTGGGGCCTACTAGAAGTCAGGAAAAAGGCTGTTTCCAGCCTCCCGAGGGCCTCCGGGGAGGTGGGGAAGGCTATTTTCGCCCTCCCCAGCCTCCTAGAAAGGCTCTGGAGCCTGGGGAGAGCAAAAAACGGGCCTACCTTGCCATCACATGCCAAAAGTGGGGGAGTGCGGGAGGAGGGGTCACATGCACATGCGCGGGGGGTGGGGGGCATAGAATTATGGGTGTGGGCATGTGCACGAGCAACCCCCCCCGCACTCCCCCCACTTTTGGCACGCGATGGCAAAAAGGTTAGCCGTCGCTGCTATAGAGGGACCAGATTGGGGATATAAACAGCTCAAAGTACCTGGTGTAGGAAGAGGACAGAGAGATAGTTTGGGTGGGTTGGAGAAGTCTTTCTCATCCTTAGCAATTTTAAGATGTGGGAACTTCAACTACCCAGAATTCCTCAGCCAGCAGAATTCTGGGAATGGTAGAATTTTGTTCTTCCCCTCTATTTGATAGTCAAAAGCAGTGTGGGTTTAAACAAAAATTGAATACAAGAATGCCAAAGAATCTCTATGTGGCTTAGAAGCTGTGTTAAATAGTATTTCTCCTCACCCCCAATTCCCACATGTAGCAGCAAAGTACAAACAATAAACTCCAAGAAGCACTTCCTTATGACAAGATGGCTAGTACTAAACTGCAAGCTGGTTGGAAACCAAAAATGTATTCTTTAAAAACTATCTGTGAAATACTGTTGTACGGATTGTTTTCCTCACCTGTGATTCTTTTCTGTCATTAGTTTCTGCTAATGATTGTGGGTTCTATTCCTCACATACCTTTTTCACTGCCAACAACTATGGAGTATTGGTAGAGCTGCTAACTTGCTATTTTGACCCATACATGGATGATCCTTGTCACATATATAGATTTCTCATTTTTACTATTATATCCAAAAGGCAAAATTATTGGATGAAGACTTGATAAAGCAGGCCACACTCAACATTATTTGCATGTTGTTAAGTCCAAAACTTGTGCAGGCCTGCTTAAGGATTTAGCATAACTAACTTGCAGAGTCATATTATTCAGAACTGAAAGCCTCACATTGTGATAAATCCATTTTATTCCATCTCCTACATATAATTGTGCTGTTTGTGAAGTCAGTGAGGAGAACAAATAGATGCTTTTCTCCCCCAGTTTTGCTTTAATAAACCAGCTAAATTTCACCAAATCCCACGGGAATCACCCAAGAAATATTCTCTTTACAGATTAATAAGGTTAGTACATAAATCTTGGGTCAACTAATGCTTAATAAGCATGAAGATTGTTTGGGAATCAAGATCAATTAGAGTCCAACTGGTAATCCTGTGCAGATTAAAACTACATCAATGAAAATTAAGCTGAAAATTAATATTTATTTACAAGTGCAAGATTAAATAAAAGATTTAAAGAATTGCCAAGCATATGTAGTCAGAAGAAAAGCAGTAGCAAAAATAAAACAAACTCAAGTGCTAATATGCACAACACCACACTGGCCTTCCCCAACATGATGCCCTCCAGTTTTTTTAAAAAAACAAAACTACAGTTCTGGTAGCATTTAGCAAGCTATGGTTTCCAGACATGTAGGGGATGGCAGGTTTCAATTTGCCATATTCAGATATTCTAAAATTCAGAGTGCTCACCGTGTCTGCATTTCAAAGAAGTCTGGTCCCCTCCTTTCCAATATCTCTTGTGGGACATCAGTCTCCTGGAAATATTTGCACATTCAATATGACTGTCTACAGAAGGAACAGCTTGCCCATGAACTAGGACTCTGATAAGGCAAAGTCATACTGCGTTTGCAAGAGAAGTATTCAAGATATGCTTGTTGTGAACACGGCAGACATTTGAATAATAGCCCAAATATGTAATGTGGCATGAAAACTTGGAATTCTTCTACACTAAGTATCATAGCCACCTAATGAGAAGGAAGGACTCACTGGAGAAGAGCCTAATGGTGGGAAAGATTGAGGGCAAAAGACGAAGGGGACGGCAGAGAACGAGGTGGCTGAATGGAGTCACTGAAGCAGTAGGTGTGAGCTTAAATGGACTCCAGAGGATGGTAGAGGACAGGAAGGCCTGGAGGAACGTTGTCCATGGGGTCACGATGGGTCGGCAACTAACAACAACAACAAAGTATCATAGCACCAATCCTGCATTAAATCTATGTATTTAAAATTTGTGCAGAAGATCGGTTATTTTTATTCTTTTTTATTCCTTCAAGGAAACTTTTTATTTTTTTACTTGTAGAAAACTTGAGATGTAAACCAAACTGAAAAATAATGACCTACAGTATTCTACTCAAGTTCTTTCTTTACCCATTTCTTTCACTGCAACACATTAATCTTTATCAGTATTCTCTTGGTCTACTAGTTTGTCATCATGTATTATTACAACTTTCTATGTATTCCAATAATTTTCGCACATTATCATTAATAGAATAATAATTTCACATCATTTTTGTATTCCTTTAGGTTCACACTGAACAATGATTTGTACAGGCTCACCCAGCTTGTGATCTACCAAAATCACAGTCTACCAAAGCTACTTTTAAATAAATCAGTTCAGCCATCTTTTATTCTCAGGTATCTAACCAAAGTAACTACTTAATGTGTTGCCAAAAAGGAAATTAAATTTATTTTCTTTCTAGTTCTATATGTATATGTATAACCTTTATCTAGTTCTCTTTGTATTAGTTTCTAGTTCTATTTGTGCTAATTTAAACTCATAATTAGTTAATTTGTGGATCCGCTCAGTCAGTTGCCCAGATGCTAATTGTGGATGGCAACTCTGAAGGCCATAATAATCTCCATTATTTTATTTTTAATACACATTTAAACTGCAAGATTGAAATAGAGAAATATCCTCTGAAAAATAAATTCTCATAGATATGCTTTCAATTACTATTCCTTCAAATCTAAGTTTCAATTTTTATATTCTATTTTTAGCTCTCTTTATCTATATCAAGGTCATATGCTACTATTAACATTAATATTAATGATTTACGCACAAAAAAAAAACTATATTCTGCAAAGAAAACTAATCCCAAAGCATGCCATAAAGGTTCTTAAATGAAAAGAATTGTAGTTGTAATTCCTACAATTCAGGAGAATAAGTAAACTAGAGATATCTAATGTTATCTAATTTTAATACTTGTTAATACTTGCTAAAAATAAAAAGACATAACGAAGTAAAACAAAGAAGTACCTAAAACACTGTGCAATATACCAAACATTCATTTCATGTTGAAGCTGCCTGTCATCCTTTTGTTCCTCTAAGCTAGAGAAATGGACCTGTTCTAGGCCTTAATCTATTCCTAATGCAATACCTTGTCTAATAGATCAGGTGATGTTACAGATAGGATTTAACCGAAAAATATTCACAATATCCATTTCTCTTAATAGGGACAAACAAGGACCGTCTTGGCAGAAGGACTAGTAAAATCTGTATCTGCCCAGCTTTATTTACATCTTACATTTTTTAATGGGGAAAAATAAGAAGAGATGCAAGTGAAACAGAGACAGACAGTAACAAAGGAAGGAATAGAATTATGGAGAAGCTTCACTGCTTGTGAGGTACTGCAGAGCACTTAGCAAGTAGAATTAGATCCATTGATTGGTGTTCCCTATTCTAGTCCTAGATGTTTGTTTGGCTTTTACAAATTTGGTTTTCCAGGATATCAAAACCAGGAATTTTAGTCTATATTTTATTCAAACTATTGCAAATTAATTATCCTCTCTCACCCTCTCAAGTACTAAAATTACTATACAGAGTGTGCTTATGCTCCCAAACTTGCCTCTTTAAATCTTCCATGGCTGCTGTTATAACTATTATCTAGGATATTTTACTGTGAACTAAAATTATACATTCCCTCCCCCCCCCACAACTCTCAATTCCCCAAAGGCTTAACAAATTTTAGTGGTCTTTCTCAAGCTTACCATATTGTTCACACTTTATTCTGTCTCAGCCTTGAAGAATGTAGCCTTCAGCACAGATTCTACCACTAAGTACATCAGAAGATAAATAATGCTCCCCTGGAGCTCTAATCAAGGACAAACGTGATTGGCATGCAAGTTTTGGTTGACCAGTTTTGGGAGAACTTTCACCCAAATTTCCCCAGTAGCATTATTTTCTATCTCAGTAAAAATGGTAGCAGTGGTCAGCAGTGCTTAAATAACAAGGTAGTCCTTGACATACAACCTTTCATTTGGTGACCTTTTGAAGTTACAATGGCATTGAAAAAAGTGACTTATGACTGTTTTTCATACTTAGGACCATTGCAGCATCCTCATGGTCATGAGATCAAAATTTGGATGCTTGGCAACTGGCTCATATTTATAATAGTTGCAGTGCCCAAATGATCACCTTTTGTGACCTTCTGACAGGCAAAATCAATGGGGAAGCCAGATTTACAACTGTGTTACTACTTAATAATTGCAGTGATTGACTTAACAAGTGTGGAAAGAAAAGTCATAAAATGGGGCAAAACTCACTTAACAAACGTTTCACTTAGCAACAAAAATGATGGGCTCAATTATGATCATAAATCGAGGACTACCTGTAGATAGATATCAGCTGCCCAGAGTCACCCAAGCTATTTTTTTTTTCAGAAGGCTTAGGGGAGGATTCAGTAAATGTGGCCTTTTTAGAACAATAGGATTGCTACCAACTAAAGATGCCTTAGAATGATATTGGACCTGAGAATAATTGGGAAGTTTTGATTTGTTTGCCTTCTATTCAGAACTGTTCTTACCATTTTGCTATTTATTATTAGTTGCTACTGAGATCTTTGATTTAAACAAGACATTTGCTTAGTCTAACATAGCATATCTATAGGAGATGACCAGACTGAGCCCAAGGGTGGGGTCAAATGCATCATCAGCCTCAAGTCCTTTCATTAAGTCCAGCCCACCTTGAATTCTGTTGGCCTTTATCTATCGCCAATTTGCTTTGACTGTTAAAAGTTCAGATTATTTTAGAGAGCCTTGGATACAAATATTCATTTGAACTGCCTGGACCCCTGATTTCCTGAGCTTGACAATATCCGAACTGCCTGGACCCCTGATTTCCTGAGCTTGACAATATCCTAACTTGGAACTTTCAGAGTTATTGTACCTCAAGCCTCATAATTCCCAAATAGAATAACCCATGACCATTGGAAATGAAGTTATATTACCTGCAGAGATTCAAGTTAGGGAATGCTACTTACAAAATTAGGAAGTGGAGGGTAAAATTATTCAGTTCCCGCAGTTAAGTTTTCAATTTTCAGTTCCGGACTTCTCCACTTGGAAGAGGTCTTAGGTTAAGAAAGACATCTTACTTCGGTCAGAATAAACAGCCCTAAGACAGATGAACCAAGGTCCTGGCAGTATAAAATAGGTCCTTAACCATCTTCTAGGCAGAGTTCTCCAACTCTGACCAATCAGTCCTGAGGGATGGTTTGCACTTATTTTATGATTTCTCCTTGCCTGCTGGACCTCAAATCAGTAATTTCAATGCTTAGACCTGGCATAAATTACCCCTATTTTAGGTTTTAGATCCAATATCGAGGGGGAAATTACTATATCAAAGAAGTCCAAGTCATCATGGTATTTAGCCCTAGATGCAATCTTAAGGGAAACCAGCCATTGTTCTCCAATTCCCTGGTTCAATGTCTTATTGCTTGCAGCTGTAAACCACTTCTTCCTGCATGCACTGCTGACATTCCACATAGCAGCACCATTGCACCTGGCAATGGCAAGAGAAGGTAACAATGTGGGTCTGGATATTGTAACCCCGGCCACAGCACATACTGTCACAGTTGGCCTCACGGGAACACGTCCTTCCAGCCGTGCCCACTGAATACCTGCTAGATCGGCAGAAGCTAGGAGAATCTTCCATATAAACCAGATCAGTGGGACGTGGAGCAGCAGGACCTTTAGCTAAGCGGCCATGATGCTGAGGGCTCACGAGCTCTGATTGTCCCATAGCATCATTGGTGGCACTGAAGACTTTGACAGCACTGTCGTAGCGTAGCTTCAGGAGCTTTCCTGTCTCATGGAAAGGAGACAACTGTTTCCAGCAAGTTCTCACAGCACATGAGCCAGACACACCGTGGCACTTGCAAGTGGTCTTTAGGCCATTTTTCACAGCCTGTGGAAGAGAAAGGAAAATATTATTAGCCATTGCAGAGTTATCTGTGAGTAGTTAGAAGAAGGGAGGGAGGGAGGGAGGGAGGGAGGGGGGGAGGGAGGGAGGGAGGAAGGAAGGAAGGAAGGAAGGAAGGAAGGAAGGAAGGAAGGAAGGAAGGAAGGAAGGAAATCAGAAAATTTATAAAGCAAGATCATCCATTCAAATAGATTTGACCATTCAGGTAATGACTTTTCCAAATAATTCACCAATGAATCCAAAGAATACACTCTTTATTTAAGTCCACTTCAGTCAAAGTTACCTTAGTCACTGTGTAACTTTGGCTGAATCATGCTTTTTCAGCCCTACTGTTACTATGTGTATAAACTGAAAAGAGGACCCCTCCCCAATAAGATACCTTGAGCTCTGGAGGGAAAACATAATGAAAATCTAACACTTTAATAAGCAAATTTATATTCATAAAGGCAAAGAAAATCAAATTACAGTACACCTTAAAGACCAAGCAATTATTACCACCTAAGCTTTTGTAGACTAAAGCCATGTCCCAACTATATTGCTCAAATTTAACTTCTGCAAGTATAAGAATTGCATAATCCTGATTAACCCCAAAACAGTTCAGCAATTTCATGTTGGAATCTTCCATGGGACATTATCAAAATCTAGAATATAAAATGGACATAAACTCAGACTGTGCCTGAAAATATTTTTATGGGTCTCGGCACAAGAAGCATTTTAAAGAAAGAAGGAGCAGGTAAAGTGAAATGATTAAACGTATCCATGTTAGAAAATATAAGATGAAATCAGGGAACTGACCGCTGAAGGATTTAGTTTTCAATAGTTTTTTGTATGCACCGTTAAGGGAAACAGATTAAGGTAGATTACAGGACATTTAGAATTGAGAATTGCCAAAATATATAAACTCTTTCTGAAATTCATAGAAATGAACAAATGAAAGAATGTTTGATTAAAAACAGGCTAAGAATTTTAGACATAATATATTGTTGGATCAGTGAGAAAGCATGTGATTGAAAGGACTGAAATTCAAACTTTGTAATAATCTAAAAGAGAATTTTTATAAAATGATGTACCTTTGGTGTATGACTCCAGAAAGATTATCTAGAATGCATAAAGCTATTTCCAATTTATGTTGCAAATGTGGGCAATATGATGGGGTCGTTTTACCCTGCTTGGTAGTTTTCTAAAAAAGCAAAATTTGGGGCTCAGTTGTGGCCATAGGTCAAGGACTACTTGTATCCACATCATTGGGACTAATTGCTTCCTCGTTATTTTAGGTTACAATACCACACACAGATGATACAATAGCCCACTGAATCAGTGCCTCTGATTTCTGAGTTGACACGCAGTACAGACATTATGTAATGACTATGGTATTTAAGCAAGTAATTTATCAGAGAATCAACTTTTTTTTTTAAATTTGATTTATATGCCGCCCTTCTCCGGAGACTCAGGGCGGCTTACAATGTCTTAAGCAATAGCCTTCATACTTTTGTATATTAATACAAAGTCAGTTTATTGCCCCCATAATCTGGGTCCTCATTTTACCTATCTTAGAAAGGATGGCTGAGTCAACCTTGAGCCTGGTGAGATTTGAACTTGCAGTAATTGCAGGCAACAGATGTAAGTGGATGTTAATAACAGTGCTTTAGTCTGCTGAGCCAGCAACTTTGCATCTGAAGACAATATTTCTGAACAAAGTAGTGTGTTTCCTGCTTTTAGATGGCATGCACATGTGTAGAAAACATCATCCCTTGGGGGGGGGGAATGAGGGAAATCTTTTAAAATGCTTACTGCAGAGCTACAGTTTTTTTAAAATGTTTTACATTCTCTCTGAATGTCCATCCAGTTCAAGTCAAATTGAAACATCAAGCTACAGTGAGGTGGTCCATGTAATCTAATTTATCTGGAGGTTGCCAGCTGACAAAAATCTGCTGTAACCTGTACACAAGAGCCTTTATCCTCTCACTTCTTAAGCCCTATCCATGCAAGCTTCTAAGGATTTCCAAATATTGTTTGTGCATTTCTGACACAACCTTTGTATTAGAATTGTCAATTTAGGATTTTGTAAAGATGTGGTCAGAAGGTAGCCTCAGAATCAACAGGGAGAAAGAAATGACCCATCTCATTAAAAACCCTTGCTTTATTCTACCCTGTTGCATAATAACCTTCATAATGTCACTGTGGAAACCACTGTTTTGACCATCTGCTGCCAAGAAAGATACAGATCTAGTATTTCAGAGTTCAGTTAATCCCCCAGTGGGGGGAGTGGAATGGTGATAAAGATTAGAAATTTTTATTTTCCATCTCTTTCTCTCTCTCTCTCTCTCTCTCTCCTGAACTGGTCCTGCAGCAAATTCACCCTTACCTTGATGCCCACATTTGTGTTATGGATGTCCACCTTGGCCCTCAAATCTTTCCCAACCTTCTTCTGGCCCAAGAAATTCTTCAGGAACCTGATGCTATACTTAAGGTTGTCACCACACACACCCCACTGCCAGGCTTTGCGGTTCTCTAAGTCAGGTGAATCATCACAGGTACAGCGCTCCATTCGCCCAGCACTGCACGCTCGAGCAAGGGAATGAGTTAATGCTGCTGAAGACACTGCATAGAGAAATGCTGTTTCCTTGAAACCTAGGAAAACAAAGCCAAGAAACACATGTCGTAAGAGCTAAATAAATCTAAGCTGGAAGTGGGGATGCAGACAAGAAGCCCTTGTACTATTTGCATGTCTCAACAGACATCTGGTAGAAGTACTGAAGTTTTGCTTCTGTATGGGTTTAGCCTTTCCCTGGGCTCCCTCCTGTAAGAAAGGTAAATCCTGCTATGGTCCTTAGCTCTCAAACCAAAGTTGTTGTTTTCTCTGCTAGAAAGTTGTTTAATTAAATGCAGGAAGGAAGGAATGAGATGCACTTCTGAAAAATGTGGCCAAGAAAATTGTAGGGACTTACTTATGTAGTGTCAGAAATCAAGACTAACTCAAAGGCATGATCTTTCTTCATGCCTTTGAGTTAGTCTTGATTTCTGACACTACATAAGTAAGTCTCTACAATTTTCTTGGCCACATTTTTCAGAAGTACATCTCATTCCTTCCTCCTAAGGGTAAACTAGAGTGCCTGTGTCTAAGGCAGGTGTCCAGCCTTGGCAACATTAACACTTGTGAGAGTTGAAGTCCACAAGTCTTAAAGTTGCCAAAGTTGGACACCTGTGGTCTAAGGCAAGTCTACAATTCTGATTTTTCCACTTCTAGTCTAACACTTTAATCAGTACACCAGACTGACATTCTAAGTAGAATCTTGCTATTGATTAATATCTTGAACACGGGAAATGTTTTTCCTTAATTTTTTTGACAAGGCACATTCTTTTATTACTAGTTTGTTTGAAACTTTTTTTTTTAAATCATGCTACATAATCCTATATGCATGTAATCTCAGAAGTATCTCCAATTCCACACAGCTAGATTTATTGCAAAGCAAAGGTGTATAGGATTGGAGTCTTGGACTACTAGCTATTGTGAAAGAGTTTTTAAAATCGCATCCTACTGCTTTGCAAACAACTTTGAACAATGGAAACTGCTATAAAACGTTTAATACAAATAAAATGAGCTTGGGTTCCAGCATACTTTTAGGACCAAAGCATACCTGAGTGCAAACATTGGAATATCACATCCTTATATTTAACAAATGACATGAAAAAGAAGTGAGAGGGAATTCCATGCAGGCAACCCCACAGGCTAGCAGAAGAGAAGTAGTTGTGAACCAGTGTGAACTAGTTCCTATAATAGTTGCACATAGGAAGAAAGAACGCTTTCCTAAAAGCCTAGAGAATATCACAAGATGTGATGAGGGTAAAAGGTCACTGCTATCCAGCCTGCTAAAACTCTAATAGCCTAGTGCAGAGGTCTTCAAACTTGGCAGCTTTAAGACTGGTGGACTTCAACTCCCAGAATCCCCCAGCCAACATAGCATAGCATAGCATAGCTGGCTGGAGAATTTTGGGAGTTGAAGTCCACCAGTCTTAAAGCTGCCAAGTTTGAAGACCTCTGGCCTAGTGCTTATATTTTGAGCCTAGAGGAGGAGGCTTCTTCTTATCTGCATTCAAAATTGAAAAAGAGGTAACCAAGTTAATTAAAAATGGCAACCTATCAATTTTGTGATTTGTTGACAAGATTAAATTATCTCTCCTGTGATGCCTTTTTTCCTAGCTTCTAATTATGACTGAAGGAATTGGACAACCCAAAGAGAAAGAAGCAAGAAGGAGAAGCTTCTGTTTTTTTGGGGGGGTTTCATAAACTTAATACAACAGATGTTCCTATTTACCTCTCTTCAACAGGTTTGTCCTCCCATCGAGGCTGCAGTTCCAACGCTCATTGCGAAACTGGTACTGGCACTCAAGGACTCCAAGCCGGATGGCATCTCGTAAAGTCTCGGCCAGCCCCGGTTCTCGACGACAGAGTCTCTTTTGCTTCTGGGAAAGCCTCAGCAGATCACATTGCTTCAAGTGAGCCTTCCAATGAGCAGGATTTGTTGAAGATCCCAGCAGTGGAAACTGAATCAAGGTTTCTTTTCCGGTCAGGCTAAGAGAAAGAGAAGTAAGTTTGGCTTGGTTTGATAAACCAGAGAATGCATTATTGCCACTAGGCATTAACAGATAATCAGTATGATGGCCATCTCAGTTACCCATCCCATGTAAGATTAGGGCTGAGTTACATGTAGAGAAATGAAGTGGTTTCAGAATTGACGAGGGGTGGGAGAAGGTGTGAAGCACTTCTACTGAAAATCCCACATCTGAGATAAAGTAAAAGAGCCTGAGTGGCGCAGCAGACTAATGCTACTGTTAAAGGTAGTATTTAGCTTCCAGCTGCCTGCAATTACTGCGCGTTCAATTCTCACCAGGCTCAAGGTTGACTCAGCCTTCCATCCTTTCTAAGGTAGATAAAATGAGGACCCAGTTGTGGGGGCAATAAGCTGACTTTGTATAAAATATACAAAAGTATGAAGGCTATTGCTTAACACCTTGTAAGCCGCCCTGAGTCTCCGGAGAAGGGCGGCATATAAAAAGAAGAAGAAGAAGAAGAAGAAGAAGAAGAAGAAGAAGAAGAAGAAGAAGAAGAAGAAGAAGAAGAAGAAGAAGAAGAAGAAGAAGAAGAAGAAGAAGAAGAAGAAGAAGAAGAAAAGGTCTGTCTATGGATTGATAGTGATGGACCTTGGGGGATTCACCTATAGGAAAGAAAAACAGCTTTGACTCAATCTATTTTTCCATTAAAACAATTTGCTGCAATACAAGGAAAATAAAAAGAACCAAGTGGCTACATTCTAAGGGAGATTCTAAACTCTTTTAAAAACTTATGAGGTGAAGTCTGCAGTTTTGTGGTCAAAATTCAAATATCTTTAAGGAAGATTTGCCTTTGGAACAGGTTTTGGTAAAAGAAAGCTTTGAACAGGGAACAAATGTTGGGATGGATTTTAGAACCGTTTTCATTTAGCTAGTGCTCTCTACAGCTATTAGACAAAGTCTCCAATTATTCCACATTAGAAGGTGATAGGAATTATACCTATTATTTGCACTACTTCTAGGGGAAAAAGGAAAACTAAAACTAAACTATATACTTTAGAGGTCTCTCTTTCACAGAGGCATAATTCTGAAGTCCGCAGAATTTAAAGCTGCTAAGGTCGAAAAACACTGATCTGGATGAATTACCAAAATTACACTTTGATTTACTTCTATTAAACTAGGTTCAGTCAGAAGTAGCAGAGACCACATTCTTTTACTGGATTTCTAGGTGGGGGGTTGCACTGGAAGATTCCATATGATTCAAAAAGTTCCAAAACTCACGTATTTAGCCTAAACTAGAATAAGTTAATCATTTCAAAGGCTGTCCCTTTGCTATACTGTAACCAGATACTTAAAATTGTGTATGTACAGTATGTATGTATGTACACACACACTTTATATGATATTAGTATTTTCAGAATTTGTCTTCAGAATTTAGGTACCATCAGAAAGAACCATTAAAGACAGTTTACTATTGTTTTTTTTCTTTTGATGAGATTTTTTGTTTTGTTTTTTAACGTGGCATTTTAATCTATCCTACTAGCCGGGGATTTACTCTCATCTTAGTTTCCAAATCAACCAAGGTTGACCAGTTGCTGTCACATTAGCTAGATCATATGTATACTACATAAGAACAGTAATATAAAAGTAGTATAAGAAATATTTAGATGATATCTTTACAAAGTGGAATGGTATTGAGATTATACAGTATCATAGTTTCTTTTTATCGGCCAGATTTTAAAGTTGAAAGCAAATTATGAATTAAATCTTAAACTGACTGGGATTTTCTGGTCTTACCAAGTTTGGGAAGATAGATCTTTGAATATCTAGGTTCATTTATTCACAATACATTTTTCTATCATTCTTGATATCGTATTTCATTATGATTCTATCACCTTTCCATCTGTTACCACACACAAATTAAGATATTGTAGAAGAAAAGTTTATCAAGTTAGGGGAATCATTCAGTTTTTCATACAGGGCCAAGTGCTCATATCTTAAGTTTAGAAAGAAAGTTATTGCAATAAATTGCCCAATAAAAGACAATGCCCAATAAAATAAACGTAACCATTTTGTTCTTAGAAACAACAAACTTGGATAGTATTAAAATGTCTTTAGAGCTTGCTACTCTTTCTCTATCTCAAAGAAATTATATCAGAATTTAGTTGAAAAATCACAGCCAAGAGAATACAATTGAGAATACAATTTATAACTCAGAGCCAAACTCTAAGTCATGTTACATACTTCTGAGACATTTCCTCCTCCTCTGCCCTTTAATTGCCCCTCCCTCAAAAAAACCCTGAAATGCACCCTTAGGTCTAATGATTTTGTCATTATAGGTGTTTCTTCCAACAGTTTTGTTTTAATGGGTAGAAAGCATTTTAAGACCAGGTGGATTGATTTCTGACTCTAAAAATGTGAGGAAAGAGTCAAGCATCTTCTCACTCAACCTCATCCTCCAAGGTTGCCTATTAGTAGAAGAAAAACCGCCAGGAAGTTCAACATAACTCTCTAGGGTCTTTTATTTTACAATTCATCTGCCATCATCATTCCAAGCCAACCTCTTCCAATATTACTCATGCCCCTGGTGTCTATTGCTCTCAAGATTTTGCCTCTGCTGCTTCTCTATAACCCAATCCTGAGATTGGGCATTTCCTGGACCTGACCCGAGTTCATTTACAGGACAGGTTGTACATCAGAACCTGTGATCTATCAAGCATGCATACGCCTAGCGCCAGGCAGCCAAAAGGCCTCCAGTCTTGAGAGAGCAGGCAAAGGAAGAGATGCTTATCACTTACCAAGGGTGGAATGCTCAAACCCTCTCCCCCACCCAATGGCCTTCTTCCAGCCAATGCACGATGTCGGTTAATGATTAAGTAAGTAAATTTCCAAATAACCAACAGAGAACAAAATGGCCACAGTTTCATCAAGATACAAGCTGTGTCGATGTAGCACCCACATACCAGCTGAACATTTACCCTTTTCTAATATCCTCTGGGCACTTAGAGCTCAGTTTGGAAGTGAACTAGAAGGACCCCAATAGAAGACAACAATTTCCAAATCATTTGAGAATTAAAATACTACTATACAATATAAACTTTCTGTAACTATCAATTTATAGGATTATTTGGATAATAGTTGTTGTTATTAGTTGCGAAGTCGTGTCCAACCCATCACAATCTCATGGACAACGTTCCTCCAGGCCTTCCTGTCCTCCACCATCCTCTGGAGTCCATTTAAGCTCACGCCTACTTCTCGGATTCGACAAAAAACAGCCCAAAATTCCAAGCTATTGGTATTAGCTGAGTTTCCAAGAAGTTATGTTCCTAAAGCTTGTTGCAAATTATGAAAAATATAGTTCAACAAAACTATAGAGAGTAGGGACAACTGATTTAGACATTAGTCACTGGTTGCTGCATTAAATATTTGTACAGCTTTGTGTGTTGTTGTTGTTGATTTGCTTTAATTTATATGCCGCCCTTCTCTGAAGACTCAGGGCGGCTTACAATGCGTTAAGCAATAGCCTTCATATTTTTGTATATTTATACAAAGTCAGCTTATTGCCCCCACAATCTGAGTCCTCATTTTACCTACCTTAGAAAGGATGGAAGGCTGAGTCAACCTTGAGCCTGGTGAGATTTGAACTTGCAGCAATTGCAGGCAGCTGATGTTAATAACAGTTAATAACAGTGCTTTAGTCTGCTGCGCCACCAGGGCTTTTGCATGAGTTGCACCCCTTCCTGCACCATGAGGGTCTATTCATTTTCACTCATGCCCTGGTTACTTCCAGAATGGATTACCATTATGCACTCTACCTGGAGCTGCCCTTGAAGAGCATCTGGAAGATTTAGCTGCTGAATGTGGTTGCATGGACAGTTATGTGTGCTGATGTTTCTGGGACCAATTCTAATACTTCCAGATGTGTTGAACTGCAACTCCCTTCATCCTCAAGCAGCACCATTCCACAGAACATATCAGGTTCATTCTGGTTTAGCATCCTATGGGAAACTGCTGCCTAAGGATGAAGGGAATTGTAGTCCAACATCTCTACGTAGACCAGACCATGTGTCTAGGTACACTAGACCAAGAATCAACTCCACAGGATACCTAAAAAAAAATTTGAGATTGGTTATAATAACAGAATCTTGCAAGTGTGTTTATACAACGATCTTCCTTCTTATAACGAACAAAGTGAATAAGGAAGCACTCCCGAGTTCACTGAGGCACTTATGTAGGCTGTTTCTTGTAGACTTAAAAAAGTTTTCATTCATCATCACTCTAGTAACAGATCTTGCATATCTGTCAAGGTAATCTTCTTTACCCTCTACATCACCTCCCATGTCAGCCTTGGTTCCTGCCCCCTACGTGTCCAGAAAACTCTTAGTCAAGGTTATAGAACAAAATGCTGCTCTCCTCCTCCTCCTCTATTGCCAACTCCTCCAGATCATCTAACAAGTCCTGTAACACAGCCATGCACTGAGACCAGAGCATCAAGAGAGTCCTCTGGGCTGAAAGCAAGCTCTCTCTCAATTGCAGCCCCCACCCAGCAATGTTTACAGGGCTAAAGAGAAGTTGTCCTCCAGAGGATGAGGAGGGTGATAAAGTTGCATCCTCTCCCCAAAGTAGACCTGAGGAGCAAAACAGCAATCAACGGATGCTGGCGAAGTTGGCAGAGACCCTAAGGGTTTCAATTCCATTATGTGGTCATCCCCCTTGCCCTTCCAGACAATTCAACTAATTAGAGAAGAAAGGGAAAGCTGAAAATGGCACTGATGCTAATGACCAAGCAATGATAGCTTCTGGAGCATCAGAGGAGGAGAAAATGACTCCTTTCTCCATTGTCCCTGCTTGTCCACAGCAATTCCTATTGGAGGTTTCTTGAAGGGCAAAGAATGACCTGGAATGGTAGATATCTCCCCTGGCTTAACAACTCTGTTACATAGTGGCCAACTGAATGTGTTTGTGAAACTCACTTCTGCCAGTTCCCAGCAACAATTTTTTAAGGCAAAATGCCTATGATTTTACAGGTAGTATTATTACTCAGAAAGAGCCTAACCTTCCTTGAATCTACAGGTTTGCTCTTAAAACTATCCAACCTGGCTAGTGTTGACAAAGAGCATCAACAGGCCTATTCATTACCTTTCAGAAACAGAAAGTAGAATCTAGAAATTCCAGCATTGGAAGGCTGGTAATAACAAACAGGAAACTCATTCAAAATATGCAACAGTTCCCATAAAGAACTGGAGTAAAATGTTTTATCAACTAAAGGAACACAGCTGTTGCAAGATTGCGGCTCCCTTAAGTTGCTTAAGCAACCAAATCCACCTAAAGCAATAATCAATATTTGTTTTGCATTAAGGAAGTGATAGCTGGGAGAAAAAGAATATTACCTCTTGCTTGGGGTATGACCATGCACTTCCTGAAAGGAGAAAAGGCCAACTCATTCTGAAATGTAGGCAGAGATAGACACAGCATCCCAGATGAGAGATGCTATGACAGGGGTCTTAATCAAGACACTTCAATATGTTATAATTCTTGGAATTCCCAACCAATATTTCAAAGTGTGCAGTCCCAACATACCTGGAAAATGCTAAAAGGGTAACCGGGCTGCTGGCTGGGGAATTTTCAGAACTGAAGTCCACAGATTTTTAAGCTGCCAAGATTTGAAACCACTAATGTAGAGAATATCTAGGTTTTGACTAGGATTGTAATGATCATCTCTTGGAAGAAGAGAAGCAGTTACCTCTATAAAACTCTGCATGATAATGCTTGTATCCTTAGATCAGATCTAGAGTTGATCCTAATTCACTTATCAACATCCGTATAATGTATATGAATTGCTAGTGATTTCAAATACATTGAATCTGCTTCCTGGTCTTGGATTCCAATAGTATTATTTGTATACTGTTGGATGCAGTATACAAAATTGAACACAGCATTTCAAACCTGCCACAAAATCACATAAGGAGGCTTAGTAGATCTTTTCTGTAAGGAAAAATATATGCACAGGTTCAAAAACATTTTATTATTCCCATCTTTTTCCAGAACAGGTGCTGAAAACAACTCAAATCTGAAAATCCCCATTCTGAACTTTTAGAAATTCAAGACTCAGTATTTTTTTTTTAAAGATCATCAAAGCCTTAAAGTATATGTATTGGTTTCTGTAACTCTTAATGAAGAATAAGAATAACTACTAAGAAGGACCCCTGAAGTGCTGTAGTCTAGAAATAGGCAATCTGGTTTTCTCCAGATCTTTTAGACTATAATTGCCATTAGAATGGTCAATTGTCAGGGATGATGGGAATTTGTAAAATTTAAAGGCACCAGTTTGTCATCTCTAAAGTCCTAATCTAATCAGGCAGCATTGTACATTCCATTTTCCCCTCTTTAACAGACTTTAGGTGGGTGGGGGAAGATGGAAGAAACAGTAGAAAAAGATATGTGGAAAATATCTACATTTGGGTCATTTAAACTTTATGGAAGATTTATTCTCCATAATAAACCCTTTTGGAACCCAAACTATATTTATGTGAAATCACTGGCCTATGCATTTATACAATGTAGTAAACCACAATGAGGCTTAAATTCAACCAACATGGGTGAATTCAACCAACATGGTTGGTATACAACAGTTTATGCTTTAAAGTATAACTAGAACTCAGCAAACTGTAGTTTATTTAGGAATTTAACCCTAATTCAACAAACCATATTTTAGTGTGCTACAAGAAGGTCGGAAAACTCCCCTGACACTATTGCTTCTACAGGGATGCTCACTTCGCAGTATTTGTAAAAATATTGAGTTTTGGGGAGAAATTGGACATAGAGATTGCCAAAATGGAGAAGGATAAAATCAATACAGACTAAAAGAATTTAAGTGGACAAAAACATGAATTACATCATGAGCTGCTCTCAAATTTATGATTAGCAAACTGAACTCTGCTTCCTGATTTACTAAAAATATAAAAAACACCTGCATTGTTGAAACAAAGTAGTGAAGCAGAGTTAGGCATTTAAGTCAATGAAAAAAATTGCCTATGTTTTGGGAAATGAAGGGTTGAGGTTTGAAAACTAAATGGATATGCAATCTCAAGTATTATACAAGAATCTTACCAATTAATATCTTTCTCTTGCTCATCAAGAGAAATTTTATGTATACAGTATTTTACCGACGTATCTCCTGAGAACTTTTGAAATAATATAATACAATCTTAATCCTTCATAAATAGGTCTCAATAATTAAAACAGTGTTTATCTTTAGGTAAGCATTTGTATGATTGCAGTCTTGAGCCAGAATGCAAGTTTTTATGCAAATACAATCTCTTGAAATTCAAATCTTAAGAGAATTTCAAATACCTGCATCGCAAGATACACATATATGCATCCTCACACTCCTTACAATAAGGTGCAATTTATGTATCATCCCAAACTCTTGAGATTGCATTATACCATGGCCCCTAGCTTGTAATGAAGAATAAAAAGGTGTAAAAAATGTAGGTGTAGATCCCGATTTTACCATGTTTAGGGATCCTCTGGACTTGTAAGGAGTTCTAACTAGTCAGGAGCTGCCTCAATCATTTCAATTGTACTAAGCATGGCTGAGACTGTATCACCTTGTAGAAGACACCACCTGCATATTAAATCGCAAAACTTCTGGTCCTCCCTTCCAATGCTGCAATTCCTAGCAAATACGCAGGCAGACCAACCCAAATGATAGACTTCACAAAGGACCAAATTGGTCCTTATTTCAGTGAGCCCGTTCAGCAAAACTTCCAAAGCCCGGAGGGCATGGAAGAGTTTTCTGCACATCTTGGGGGTGGGTGGGGGTGGGGACAATCAAAAGCCGCCTCCCAGTCATAGAATGAAATACAGAACGTGTCAGAATCTTTAAAGGTTAAGATCCATAGGTAAGCATAACTACATTGAGAAATTAATATGAAATACTTTACTCATCCCACACACCCCACAAAAAAAATCTTGCAATGTTTATATGGTCGGATCTGGCCCCATGTCTTTCATAAAGCCTTGTCCGTTTTCGGTCGACTGGGCGCTTCAGTCTAGTAAATGCAATCTCTGCCTGAGCTTTGAGCTGGCGATGGATCTGTTGCAAAGAACAGAAGGGTAGCAGAGGAGAGGGCGTGAAGGATCACCTCCAGCAAGTCTAACGGATGCCATCTCCTGTCAGGTTCCCCCGACAGTTGAGCTGAGTTTATCATGTAATCGCAGGATAACTGTAAAACCGGCATTGCGCCTGGCTAGCAATTAAGATACAGCAACTTTTCTTCAAAGCGTAAATCGCTGAAGAGAGAGAACTGTGTAATCCCAGACAGCGTTTAGGATTGCAACTATGTATCCAACCATTCAGACTGGATTGTTTGACGGAAGAAAGGAAAAGGGAAAGAGATAAGGAGAGGGGGGGGGATAAATACCATTTAAAATCAACAGGACAGAAGGGGACAGGAGGACTTTAGGCTTATCCAGTGTCGGGTCGGAAGTTAGTCGGACACCTGTTAAGGCGGCTTAGCTTCGCCATCTGAAAGCAAAGGGTTAGAGAGCAAAAAAGTAAGAAGGAAAGAAAGATTATTTGGAAAAAATGGGAAAGGTTATGGAAGAAAAGCAAGAGGTAGGGAAATCCAATCAAAGGCAAAGAAAGAATCGGGAATCGCTCAGAATAAGAAGAGGGACAGGAGGGGGAAAAAAGAGCAAGAAAGAAAATAGAAAAGCAATACAAAACCAAATTCGTACAAAAACGGAAATTAAAAGAAGGGGAAGGGGAGAACACCTGAATGGAAAAGATGTAATCTAAATTTACGCATCCGAAGCCGCGTCAAAAGGAGAAAACGCCGCTGACCCGAAATAGGCGTCCACTTGCAGAAGCAGCAGGCAATAAGTGGCGGCTGTGGCGACTAGAGAAGCGCGCAGAGGCAACAGCGCGGTCTCCCCCGGCGGCAGGCGCATGGTGCCAGCTTCTGCTGCTGCGTCGCGATCCGCCGTTTCTCTGGCTCGGCATGGCGCTGCGCTCTCAGCGCCCGGCGCTCCCGCATCACTTTAAAAAGGCACCTGGGCGGGCGAGGGACGCCCTCTCTCGGTCCCGCCTCCGAGCTGGAGGGCGAGGGCAAAGGGCCGTTGGAGGTGCGGCTCGCCTCAGGGGCTGAGAGGTGCGCGGATCCCGCGTGGAACCTCGGGCCGGTCCCGACAATCGTCCTGTCCTTTGGCCGCAGTTGGGCTCAGGAGATGGCTTCAAACTGCAGTTCAGGAGGAGGCAAGAAGGGAGATGCACCCTCGGTCATCGGGGGTATTTCCGCCACTAGACTACCGCATTATAAAGGAATAGCGGGCATGTTGTGTTGTTTTGAGTTTGTAAAACGGCCTTGTCGCCCCTCTCGTGGGAATCGGACAGCAGAATAACAGAATAACAGAATTGGAAGGGACCTTGGAGGTCTTCTAGTCCAACTCTCTGCTCAGGCAGGACCCCTATACCATTTCAGACAAATGGTCGTTCAATCTCTTCTTTAAAACCTCATGTTTTGGAGCATTCACAACTTCTGGAGGCAAGTAGTTCCACAGGTTAATTGTTCTCACTGACAGGAAGTTTCTCCTTAGTTCCAGGTTGCTTCTCTCCTTGGTTTCCATCAGTTGATTCTTGTCTTAAACCATCATTGCCACGCAGCACAGAGAGCATTTGAGTTTGCACCATTTACCAACTACAAATTAGCCAGCCTTGTTTTAGCTTGTTGTTCAAACCCAGTCAAGAAGGCCAGTTTCTGTTTCAGTTCGTTGTGAGAATCCAGAACATTAGGGTGACTGGACCTGGACTGGGCATTAGGGTGACCTAGCCCATTAGGAGGGCATAAGCCCTGGCCAGCCCCTATTTGCTCACTTGAAGTATTTGCTGAACAAGATGCACCAGACGGGACTTTACACTACGCCATTCTCCTACTTTTCCATTTTAACCTTCCATATTTTCCCAGCATTGTTTAACACACTCACACCTCATGGAGAACAGGAAAGTAGACTTTCTCACTAACTGGTAGAGCTATGGAGTTAGAGTATACAATGCGGCATTGCAACATCCTTGAATGAGCAGGAAAAAAAACCAAGGGCCTTCCTAGGAAAGATTTATGGCATATGTGTTGTGTTTTATGTTTTGTTTTGTGTTTTGTGTTTTATGTGTTGTGGTTTTTTTTAGTATTTATGATACTGTGTTGTAGCATGCCATTTGTACCCTAATCCTACATCCTACTGTGTTTTTGTTTTATGCAAATCATAATAGGTTTGTTGAGCAAATGTGACTTTGTCCGCCTTCAGTACTGGAATGTATGGTTCCCAGTATTCTCTATTTTTAATTATGTTTAACATCAACCAATTAAAGATAGGCCCAATAGCATCTGACTGTTTACTTACATATTGTTTTATCCTTGCCACTATGTCATCTTACAAAAGATGCATATTACTCCTGGTATTGGCATTTTTATATCAAAATAATTTTCAATGGAACAGTGGAAAAACTGTCCTTCATTTTTAAAAGGAAAAGTTTCTGTGTTTGTATGAATTTACAGCTAATCCTTGATTTACAATCATAAATGGGATCAGAATTCCCATTGCCATGCAATGCAATCATAAAGTGAGACATCACATGACTTCCCAGCCCTCAGTAAGGTGGGGATCCAATCTTCCAGCTGCTGTTTCCAGCTACCTCCACCCACTTATCTATCTCCCCCACTACATATCTGCCCTTTTGCCTGGCCTCCTAGTACATGGCAAGCAACCCCAGAGTTGGGTGTTTCTGGGGCTATTTGCTGCCCCACAAGGCCAAGAAGCCCAGTCCCGTTTGCCTTTGCCACTCTGCACTCTGAGACTCCTATCACCCTGGGCCCCACCACACCAGCTGATCTGCACCATCTTCTTGCTTCCACTGTTGATGTGTTTGGGTTGGGCTGTGGCTGGGTTTTGGCTGGGGGTGGGAGAGGCTAAAAGAGGCATGGCACCAGAAAGCCCCTTGCACTGTGGGAAAAAAAAGTCAAAAGCAGCAACAGTGCATTTTGTGGCTTTTTTCACTATTTTTTTCTGTGGCATGAAGAAGCTTTTTGGTGCTACGGATCTGGGACTGCTGCTTGCTTGCTTATGTGATGCCTAGGCTGGAACTGAGCTTCCTGTCATGTTGCAAGAAGCAGTGACAAGCAAACAGCAATCCCAGATCTGCAATGGCCTGGGGCACCACAAGAAGCAAGCAGAGAAGTGAGCAAGCATGCTGCCATGCTGGAGAACTGGTAGCAGAAATCTTGAGTAGTTCAAAGAACAGGCAAATACCACCTTTAACTGGCCCTACCCCCATCTATTCGCTGCCTCCCAAGTCCCAGCTGATTGAGTCCCAGCTGATCGGCTGGGTCTTATTTTGTTGCCCTGCACATGGAGCTGGAAAGCAGGTTAATGGGGTGGGAGGGAATGGAGATTTTACAGTATCCTTCCCCCTGGAGTAGGATGGAAATGGAGATTTCACAGTATCCTTCCTCTGCCGCACCCACCAAGCCACACCACGCCCACCAAACCATGCCCACAGAACCAGTAGCAAAAAATTTTTGAATCCCACCACTGGTGTGAAGGACCAAGGGTGTGAAGGGATGCTTCGTCAGAAGTGGAAACAAAAAGATGTCGAAGGTCATCTGGGATGGCAGAGTGTAGGATGGAGGAGGCCAAAAGGGCATAGATGGGTGGGAGATGGTCAGCTGATGGCAGTTGAAGTGGGCCGATGATCATAGGAGTACTCAAATTTTGATCACATAATTGTGGATTAACTACAATAGCCATCAGATCAGGCACAGGTCATATATGTCCCTTCATTCAGCACTGTCATAACTTTGAACAGTCGCTGTATGAATGGTCATAAATCAAGGATTAGCTGTATATTCATTCTCTCATAGGGATTTGTGAAACAGTTGCTCACAAATAACCAATTTCCATCATTTTAGGTATTTTTAGGTATTTCCAGCATTTTTAGGTATTAGTGATCTAATTAGACACCTTGACTAAAATAGATGCATTTGGCAGCTAAGTGACTGTAATTGCAAACATCATTGCAATTTTGAAGATGTTTGATTTACAATCCTGCTCCTATCCATTTGAAAAGATCTATTTTCAATATAACTTACGCCCTAATAAATGGGTACACCAGCATAGTTATGCTGTTGGGAATTCTGGATCTTGTAGACAAAATCCACTTGAAAGACAACAAATGTTTACAGATTAAGAGTTGGAAGGGACCTTGTAGGTCATCTAGTCTAACCCCCCACCCAAGCAGGAGACCCTACACCATTTCTGATAAATGGCAGTCCAATCTTTTCTTGAACGTCTCAATTGATGAAGCTCTCACAACTTCCAAAGGCAAGCTGTTTACATTGGTTGATTGTTCTCACTGTCAGAAAATTTCTCCTTATTTAGTTAAATCTCTCCTTGTTCAGTTTCCATCCATTATTCCTTGTCTGGCCTACAGGTGCTTTAGAAAATAGCTTGAATATCTTTCAAAAATATAGGAGAGCTATGGCAGATATGATCATAGTTTAAGAAGGTATCATAATCTAGCTATGTTCACAGAAGCACTATTGGAAAAGGTTTAAAAATAAATAGTATGTGGAATCATTGGGACAGTATAAGAGCACTGTCCAAAGCATCATTGAGCATGGAAATGCAGAGCTTTTGTTGGTGGGGTGCCGAAAATCCAATGTGGGTAACCCAGTTTAGGGCAATCTGTCTGACATTCTTTGAATTTAAGGCACCCATTTCTTAGAAAAATAACAAATTGTACAATAAGAATGTATGGTTTGAATTATTTCTAAGCCACCTGATAATAAAACTTTTCTAAACAGATAACAAAGTTATTAAAATATCAAATTTTGGGAGATTTCTGGATTAGGGAAAAGATTTTGTCCCTATCTCATAAATATGAACATCTGAGACCATCTGATGATAGATAATATATGGAGAACAACAAAGAAGTATTAAACAAGATGCATAAATTCCATACATATGGAATTGGTGAACTAGGGAAAAAAATATAAATTAATTACACAGGGGAAGCTAGTTACAAAAGTGCTATTATTCCTTATTTAGGGTTTTCCTGGAACTTCTAGTTGGGCTTTTTTCCCCCTTTATTTTTCTTTTTTTTAAGCCCAAGCAATTATAACAAGGCTTTCAAGTTCCACAGGAGTTGTGTCTAATTAACCTAGAGTACAAGGAAATATTTAAATAATATTATTTCATGCCAGAAGTTTAATTGACAGTATTTATTTGCATGATCATTTGCATCTCTAATTAAAATCTAAAGGCTATGATTTAGTTGGCTGAATGTCATTAGTTAAAGTTTGGTGTGAAAGATGAGTCCATTCAAAAGCAAACTCTTTTGAACTATTCAAAACTGATGCACATTCAAGAAGAAAGGGTGAAAAAAACCGAATAACAAATTATAATGTAATATATTTTATGTTTTTATTTTATGTTTATCTTCATTATTGCTGTTTCATTTGCGAATATATAAGATATATGGATTCACAGATGGGCTATGTTATGTTTTCAGGATTTTATTAAATGTCATAACTGGCTAGGATTATATGTTGCACTAAAGCATAAAGCATGATTTATACACCACCGCACTGAGTTCCCATAATATGCCAACATTACCAAAACAATCACATTGTGGTTATATTCATGTATCACAGTAAAACATGACATCTTTGGTTTGGTTTTTTTTAGTGTGTTGTGTGACTATGATGGCCATAGTATGTTGTATAATGCATTCTCCTTTCTCTGACGTGAGTGGATTTCTGGCCAAAGCTATGGGAGTTGTCAGAATCATCTCTAGCACTTCCAGAGTAATGGCAATACCAGTAAAGTTGGATGTCCGAACTTTACAACATACACTTCACCAGAAATTGCTCATTTGAAGGCCAGGGAAGTGTTAAGAA